TGAACTTCTCTCAAACGACTGGACCGATTTTGATGAGATTTTTTGTGTGTGTTCAAGGGGATCTGGGAATGGTTTAGATTCACTGCAGTCGGTACTTTCATACTTTGCTTAATATCCTAATCGCTTTAAATATCATGCAGGACAACGTCTGTGGGGTCCACTAGTTTTTTTATAAGCAAGAAGATGATTTTCTTTACCTGACAGAAAGGATCGCACTTTGAATGAAATATCCATTAAAGTAAAACATTATATAGTAACACGTGTTATTGTTTCTAATTAATATTCCCATATACATATGTCTAAGATATGTCAGTTTCCTCACGATGTTTTCCTTTACCGTTCGAGCAAATGTTAAATGCGCACATAGAAAGAAAGTCCATTGGTGCAAAACCGGAGATCGAACCTACGACCTCAGGTACGAGAGTCGCACGCTGAAGCCACTAAGCCAACACTGCCCAATTTATGGATGTGATATATTCCATAAAACTGTACTACGCCACTTTGCTATATTGTCAATAGTTCCCGCAGCGTATGCAATATAGGGATTTTTATTTATTTCAATCTTGGGTCACATTCTCAAAGATTTCTTTGGGACTAACTATAGACCCTTAATTTTTGAGAATATTGTATATCCCTATGTTCATCAGATAATTTTTCAAAACTATTGAGTTTTGGGGCCTATTCAAACAAACATGCAATCAATCAACGTTTTCCTCTATATCATATTATTATTAGTGACATAGACAATATTTATTTATTTGATTTTTATGAACAAAAATAGAACCTTACAGTCCCACAAATCCACTATCAGAGACGATCAAAGACTAGGGTAAAAAAGGTTTGTTATTTAAGCACATCTTTCCTTAAACACAACAATGTAATAAAGAAAAATTCAACATCTATATATTTCTAGTTTCGTTCCGTTGTTCGATGTCTTTCAGAAAATGCAATTTGTCTGTGCGATACCTGTCAGAGAGAAAGAATTTCATTATTTCCTTGGAAATGAATTATGCTAATGGTGAACCGGAAGTAATGCATTGTATATCGTTTCCTCTACATTACTCGTTTTAGTATTATTGTTTGCGAAACAAAAGATGAATGACAGACATGTTTGTCATGATTGTCATTTGTTTTTTCAGCACTTATTGAAATAAAAGCGTTTTTTTACAGTGGCTTCACTGAGGCCATGGATACAGAACTACGAAACACTAAATTTTTAATTGCTGTTTGTAAATTAAATACAACAGCGTAATAGAAATAAAGATATACATAAAAACTTATTAATTAGTACATTACATACTTGGATCGTTTTTTTCTTCTTGCTGTGTCAACGGGCGTGGCTTCAATACATAATACGATGAGTCTTGAACTACACGTATATCTGGAGAAATATAAAAAAATAAAAGGGTGCGTGTACTTATGTACGCGCGTAAGAAGTTATACTTCTTTGGCATTATTAAAATGAGTTTTTGATTGCATGCAAATAATTAATTACAATTAAAAAATCGAAGACTGGAAAAGGAGTCATTATAGTCAATAAAGTTCAGTTTACATTTGAAAAATTAAATAAAAAAATATTTATTATTATTCTCTTACATTAAGTGTAACATAAATTATATTATTATCCGAATGTTGTTTCTAAATTATATTAACACTAACTTCATTCTGTTAATTTTGTGTCACGGTGCGCGCGCATCGTAAGTTTTCACTCTCATCAATTTTTCATAACGCGCTTAAAGAAGTATAACTTCAAAAATCAATTCGAAGCCTTCGTTTTCTCTTCGTGATAATTTTGTATAACTCTGCCAACTTCTCTTTATTCAACAATTCAAATGTGTATATGATATAATCGATCAAATATTCTGAATTTATATTAAAACGAAATAATATTTTTATTTATTTAATAAATTTATTCTTATTAATAAATTGTAATAGACATCCCATCCAAAAGCTCTTTTACTTTTAATATAAGAGCTCGTTACGGAAAATAGTCCACAAATGAAAATACTTTTCTCCAACATACCAAGTAAAAATCGATATAAATGTAATACTCACGTCTCTTGATCTAGCAATTTATTGGAGCGCAGTGAGGAGGCAAGGCCGAACTTCTCTGGGTTGCTACTGTGCCACGCGTCACAGTAGGCATCCATCGCTGGCTCACCGTTCGGACTTGCGCCGTGCCATACTGCTTTTTGTGTCCTGTGGACCGTGTATAACTTGTTCAAGCACTTTTCTTTCAAATCACATTAACAACCCTTCCCTTATGTAACGTATTAATCTAAATATGAGTTAATATCATTCTACAAGTAATGTGTTACTAGGTTACGTCTTATTATTAAATTATCAACAATATTTAATTTTTATATTCTAAGATACATTAAATAGTAAAATAAAATTTAGTATTAAAAATGCTGCTTATTTAACATTTGAATTGTGATATGTATCTATTTATTTATACTTAATTGCCATAATACACATAATTATACATATAGAAAAAAAAAACAAAAAGTAAGTAGGTTACATAAGTTATTAGGCAACGGGCGGCCTTATCGCTAACAAGCGCTTTCTTCCAGGCATCAATAGAAAAAAGAAACACCTACAGAGGGTAAAGTACAAGAGATGCATAATTAATGAACAAAAATATACTAAAAATAACATGCAACTATAACTAAAATTAAATAAAATAAAATCTAAAGAAAAGGTTTAAATAATAGTATGTATAAACAGACATATAAAAGCTCAGCTTAAGGTTAATTGACTCACAATTAATATATAAAAGTAGTAGCTAATCATGAGTCAGAAAAAAGATGACCAAAAAGGAGATTTTTAAATAAATTTAAAGACTGAGCTCGTCTGATAGGAATAGGTAAATAATTCCATTCCTTTCCGTATCGCAAAGATAATCAAGCCAAAATTAGTGTAATATAAAATTGGTTGTAAATATGTAAACTAGCCTTCCTATGTTACGTGATGGTTTAAGGTTTTTTTTGTTCTTTTGTTTTTTTATATGGTATTATGTACTTAGTTTATTTTTATTTTAGTTATAAGTTTTATATTGCATTAGTATTAAGTTACTGTAAGAATTCAGATAAAACACCGAAAATAGAAGTGGGTATCTGGACTGGAATCCCCAAGGCAAAAGGAAAAGTGGTCGCTCTAAACAAATTTGGCAACGAAACATCATTGCAGAGGTGAAACAAGTTGAGTCAAAAGACCGATCAGGCTAGTGTTCTAAGTCTTAACTTATGGGCAAGTAAGTCATAATTACAAAATAAGGAAATAAACAAATATTATTATGGAACCACACACGATTTGTTTTGATATACCCGCCGAAGAAATACAACCCCGTAAAAGACTTGTATTTTATTTATAATGAGTTTATTACATCTCACATACTTCATTGAATATAAACCTAACAAATGAACCTCAAAACCTATATTTAGTTGTGTAATTTCACAACAATCTCCTATCAACGCACGCAATATTTCAAAGTACGCTTTGAATAATGTCACACATTACACGAACGTACCACATAAGTCATAACTTCTGTAACATATAATCAAAGTAGAAATTATACTGGTACAATGTTTACTTTCCAAAATTGGGTCATCATAAAATTGTAAGCGAAATCCGCCTTCATGAATATAATAATACGTACGCCAGTCTGGGATTTTGGTCGGGTTAGGGTTATAAAATGGAATGAGTAATGAAAAATAGTTACTCTCAGCGCATCATAATTTGTATAATTTCAAACGTTCGGTACTTAATTTTTATATGAAGCATCTTTTAGATTTTTTTTTGCTGTAGATTTTTCTCTAAAAAAATAAAATAAATTGCTGTGGTCTCTGGCAGAATTACCAGCGCTGTGAAACATTCTGCTCCTCAGCATAATGCTGAGCCAGGGCCAATTACAACCACAGCACACACGCATTACACACATGAAACGAACCGAATGGGAGAAGAGTAAATACATTTTTTTTCTTTGATTATTCTTATTTTGTGTGTGTGTTTGTAAGTAAAACATGTTACATCTATGTCTTTCCTTAAAAATAACCAACAAAACTATTATTATAATTTTTTTATGACTCATTAATTTTGTACGCTGTAACAAAAGAAAAAACTGAATTTATAAACTTTTTGAAACGTTGAAATGTTATTCACATTGCTTTGGAATGTGAAAGCTATCAAACAAACGTATATGTTTTCAATTAAGCATAAATTCGTAATTATAGTTAATTTTCCATCTATTTCCGCTCAACGCTAAATTAATAGTAACGTCAGTCAACCTTAATCCCCAACAGAGAATTAATTACAAAACACCTTTGCTTTCACGTCAAACATCCTTTGAAACGGATGATGAAATAAATTACAGTATGCCTCTTAGAAGCAAGAAGCCATTCCGTTAGAAATTGGGTTACATGAACTGTTTTCAAGTCTAGCTGTTATGAGATCAATCATTTAATCCGTTGGTTTAATTTAGACTTTCAACAAATTTGTAATCGTAACATACCCACGTTAACAGAGTTTTACCTAATAACGTTTGAGTAACTAAAAGCTTAGTGAGTAATGAATATCATCGCATCACATCGAATTAAAGTATTAAGAATAATGATGTTATTCGAGCGTATATAACCTTTTCATAAACACTAATTAAAGCCTAAACGCCTTTTGACTAAAGTACTTTTTCGATTTTTTTATCTGTAAGGTTACACTTAAAACTATATCTCTTATAAATGAATAGTTCAGTTAAAATATTAATTTTATGATTAATACGGTATATAAACCGTAACAGTACAATACGTCAACATACTCTGAATATGTTTTCGATCTTCTATTATATCATATTTTCTGTTCTAACTTTGGGTAATGCCATTTAAATGATGACAAAAGAAGTGAGCACAATGACCCTAAGACAATCGTAATTAATGTTGTTTTGTTCACAAAATGAAACATCAAACATACTAAAATCACTACGGACGTCAAGGTAATTGTTCGACTACTTACCAGCCAGGGTCAGTCAACACATTTTTCCCACTAAAACTGTAAATTCGGGGTGCATGTGCAAACAATGCACCGGATCCGTCGAACATCTCTCCCCAAGAATTGAACAGCACGTCACCGCGTATGTTCACAACTGGTATTTCCCGATCAACCCAGCTCACTATTGAATCTATGTTTTGGACCCTAAAAAGAACAGATACACACTAAAACGTGTAAATTATTACTTCCAACGAAGTATTTAGTATACCTGAATGTGATCGGTAATCTGTGGTTACTAATTTATGGAAAGTTGTTCAATTTATTTTTTTCCAGCTAAAAATGTGTATAAAAATAAACACAACAAAACCTAATTTAATAAGGAAAATGAATAATTAAAGATCCAATTTCATTTGCAAATTATAAACTTTCAGGAAACAATTTTCTATAACTCTGTTATGAATTTTTGCACAGATTATCATAAATTATAAATAAAACTGTATAATGGTAAAAGAAAAAGAACAGGGCCGTATAAAGCCTGAACTAATGAATATGTATTGGTGTTCAAGGACGGATTCCACATTCATTAAATCTTCGACTTTGTTTGCTCTCCGTCGGTGAAGTATGTAGAGGTAATTTACTCGCTAAGACAAAGTAATACTGGCGAGTTTACCTTGAAGAGATGAAAGCACGGAAAGTGCCATCGAGGCCGGCTCTCTGTGCTTGTCTGTGGCACTCGTAATTGGTACTGCTTACTCCGTGCATGTCACCCGTGTGAGGTTCATTCAACGCAGCTAGACGAAGCTATACAAACATAAAATAACAATGTTGGTCTTGTAATAAGCTTGTATTATGGTGATTAAAGCAGTTATTATTAACGTGTAAAATAATATAACCTTTAGTACTGTTACTTAAAAGATAAACAAAATTCATGTTGAAAACTACAGCCTTAAAAATTTTGCTAACCTATTTTTAAAATCTAATTCTACTTTCAAATAACATACCACTGGGCCTTCTCCCACGGGACTCTTGTGATGCACTAAACTAGAAGTTTCTAGAATATTCTGTAGCGGCGTTCGAGTGGGCCCGTTGCCAGGTGAGTTGTGTACAGCCAACAGGGACCCCATCTGTTTGAACCAAGATCGAAATGTAATCACATTTACGATATTAACTTTTGTAGTTACATAAAATATTCAATGGTATTTGGAATTCTATCGGAGTAATGTATCTTTTCCTGGTTATGTGTTTTTGGGAGACCAAAATTGCTTTATAATAGGCCAATATAGATTCTACACTAGGATTTTTAACATTAGCGGCGACGGATAACTTGTATTCAGTGATTTGATCACGGTTAAAATTTTGACTTCGTAGGAATTTACAAATATAGCTTATATACGAATTACTGAGGTATTACGTAAACATTTTAAACATTACTACCGCAATAATGAATATTTCCGAGTTGGCGTAGGATTTTTCTTGAAGTTGCTCGAACAAGGTAAGCATTATCAAATTACATAGTTCTTCGGGACAAATTTAATTATAATCCTTTCATTACCTGAGAAATGTGATTAAATATTATTTTACGAGCCTAACGCTTGGTATAATTGTTTGTAATATCTATAAGTCTGTTTAGAAGTTTCGTGGAAATAGTGTAATGTTTCTGCGCACTCACTTATATATTTATTAGACTAGATTATCAGCCGTGGCCGAATCCTTGCGAAAATTTCATTTGCATGTCTGCTCGTTTATACATTATTTATCACGTAAGATCTTCTTCTTCACGTGCAATATTCCTATATCAATGCGTACGGCGTATTGTTATGTTAAAACAGAAAGATAAAATGTATAATCCTTTGGGGACTGTTTCGATTTGGATTTATTGTAGGAAAAACCTTTGTTTATTCTCAAGTGATTTCTTGAGTTATGTAAGGGTGATGACTACGGATTTTTTATAATATTCATATAATCTTTATTACTATCTATAGCTTTACAAATTGGCTATTTTTTTTTATATAAATTATACTGAATATTATTATTACCGGCCGAGTAAACGGCTTAAATTCAATTCCACCAACTTCAATTTTGTTCTCTTTGGAGTAGACTCTTAGGCCGTGGGGTTCAAGTGCACCGCTTATTAAAGATTTAAGTTGGTGCCTGGTAGATAGTTCCGGTATCCCCAGAGCTGGTGCTTTCCTCGCTCAACGAATAAGAATCGCGAGCTATACAGCGAGGAAATGCTGCCAGCGTTAAAGGTACACTGTGACCGGGACCAAACTTTTTAAATTTGTTTCAATTTTCTGTTTATTAATTTTTAATTATTTTTATTATTACTATGTAGGTTAGTAAAATTGTCAATACTGTATATGTATTTGATTGTTATGTTTAGGTTTTAATAAACGATTCTCTTGTATATAATTTCACTTCTTGTGAACCTAGTAGGTTTTTCGGATTAAAATTTAAAACAAGAACAATATTTGTTTTTTACCAGGTTTTACACTACCAATGTTATTAGACAATATTTTTAGTTTGGGAAAGGAATAGTTACAGAACTACCAAAAACATTTCTTATTTCAAATATGCTACTTATACATTAAAATACGCTCCTAAAAAATGTATATAACTAGTTCAAATTGAAGGGTAGTATGTGAAATTTTTTGCAACGATAGTCGTAATTTGCATTGCTAAAGACGCCATTATTTAGTCGATTCTTCCGAGAAGTTTTCCTGAATGTAAAGTTTTTGAAATCGGGTTATTTTAAAAACTAATCCCACCAATATTATCTTAAATATATAGTATATAACAGTCACAAGATAAGTGAAAATTGGTTTCGCCTTTGTTTTTGAAATCCCGTATTAGAGCGTGGATAAAACATTTCTACATCTATTTTGTTTCCTTTTAGTTTCGCCGTGTATAGAATCCATAGAAACAAGTAATACGACACGCTCGTAAACTAGTTAGGGAACCCAAATTACACAATTTTTGTATTTTAATAATTAAAATATTTAATCAATGTTTCTCAGGCAGACTGAGGGTAAGGCAGCTGGGAAATGGTCTGATAAGGCCGGGCCAATCAGCCCAGTGTCGTACACTGAACACGCTTTGACCATCTAGGGTACATATAAGACCTAAACTCAAATATAACACACATAATATATCTTCTTAATATATATAAATTACGTCACGTTGTTTGTCCGCTATGGACTCCTAAACTACTGAAATTGTGAGTTTGATCAAACTTAAAAGATAGGATAGCTTACATCTCAATTTGCACCCGCAATATTATTTAATTGCAAAATATTTGTTTATTATTTGATAGTCACAATTCTGACAGATGGCGCTGTGTTGAAAGTACCAACGTTTCACATAAGCTACAATTTAATGGCATTACCACCAAAAAAGCATGATGGTCCCCATGACTGGTGTTTTCCTACCGTTTCCCTTGAATAGTTTACTACTCTGTAATATAACAAAAACCTTAGCCACATCAACGCTTGGCCGGTCTGCTAGATATAAAATAAAATTATCTTAACATCGTATTTAACATTTAGATACAGTACTTGCCACAGAAATATTCACGGTCACAAAACAATTTTAAATAACGCTAATACACATTTATTAATGGCGTAAATATATTTTTCTTGAAGCTCCTAAGACTGAGGATTGTAGGTGTAGGTTGAATTATTATTTATTCATAATATGTTAAGCTTTCCAGCTAAAATCGAAACAAGGGCAATAAAGCTTTGAATGGAGGATGTGTTCATAAAATATGCCTTCGTCTTCAGAAAATTCATTTCAAGGATCAGCCCGTTATCGTAAGAAAAATCCTTAAGTTTAAAATTCTGCTCGGCTTTGTTGGATGATACTGGAGTAATGGCGAGGCTTACAAATTTTATCGGTACTGTGAAATATTTATCTATTATGTGGAAAATGTATTATTGTCATGAACTAAAACACTAACAGGAAAGCCCTATGTCAGTACAGAACCTGACCATAAAAGCGGTTGCTGAAGCTGAACTGGTAGCTGATTAATATAATATGGTTGGCATCTGTAGTAATAGGTGAGAGAATAAACTAATTTAAATAGAATATTAAATGTATAAGTAAATGCTTTGAATTGTTTTATTTGTACTGTTTCAAAATTAAAGAGTTGAAGAGACTTTAGATAGTTAGTGTTAGAACTGACTCTTATACATGAGACAGGACATCTTATATATTTAAATTTAATTACAAATGGATTTTTTTAAAGTCAGTAAGTAGTAGTAGTAGGTAAGTAAGAAAAGACGTATAAAAACCGCAGACTCAAAAATTCACGGCGTGTGTCTAGTACGGATCAACCAGTCAAATGGTTAATAAATATGTCCAAACCTTCATTGTAGCATTTTTGACAGATGCATTTGTAATGACGCTTTAACTTTAATTCATAAACACAAAGCAAGTGCCGTTTATATCACTTTCTCGTTATTACAAAATGCCACTTCAATTATCTAGCCACGGTTCCAATTAACTATATATTGAAACCACATAAACCAGTGGAGTTAGAAGCGGAAATTACGAAAATTGTAATACATTACGAGTCGCGTGCGGTTTACGCCAAATTCACAGATTTAAATTAAATTAGTAGTTTGTTCTTATTATTTCATATCAGCTTTGAAACTAAGAGTTATTAGTTAATGCGTCTAAAACTAATTTCGTTGGTAATTTCATTTACATGTTACGGAGAACGTGATGGATTTAAAGGGTTGTTTATTATATATATATCATAGTGTAATAAGAGAATACGATGTCATTTGTTTTATTAGAATTTGGCAACACCATGCAACATGATAGACATCTTCCAGGTTGTAAATTGTGAATATGTCAAAGTCAATTTATCAGTCGTGCGTTGGATCGATCTGTTAAGCCGGAATACGAAAAGGCCTTTTTAAAAAATGAAATTTTATTCAAGGAAGGCAACCGCTCTCTAATAATGTTTACAGCAGACTGACTGTTGTTAACTCGCGATCATCTTCCTACTTTCTATAGCTGATGTAAAATTATGAAAAGGACTTTGTCAGCGTTAGGCACTTGTCTCACCGGCAACGATTAACGAGTAACGAGTAGAGCTAGAACCAGAAACGAGTTAGCGAGACGCGGGGAGCGAGTGCGTAGTTCCAAAATTTGTGTAGCTCGGCTATAAGCGAGTGTGCGAGTGAGGTGGGCGATTACTCGCATCACTCGCTCGCGGCAGTCAAGTTTAGCAAGAAATAATCACTGGTTGCTGTCTCGGCGTGAGTTCTAATGGCTTGGCGAGTATCGCCGAGCATCTCTTTTGTTCACACGAAAAGTATATCTATTGTACGTTTCTTGAGCGAGAAAATAGCCGATAGTTAGTCGTTTTCTCGTCGTTGATGGGACAACTGCCTTACACCTGTCATTTTAGGGATGTAATAGATCGTTGAGTTCAGTAGTTCTCAGCCCCTGCGCCAGATGTGCGCACTGGCTGAAAAATGTCGGACTAAGATAGTGATAACATCTTGGCTAATATTAATCTCTACGAATCTGCGATGTATATAAGTCTTTGATCTCTCTCCCATGGTTGGTATAAATAATCCCGTGGATTAAATTGCATTTGTTTCTTTCATATTTTTATAAGGTAGGTGTTCAGTTTTCTGTACGTGACGCACATCCCCGATTGTTGGGTCTAACATGGTACAAGTAAAATCAATTTGTGTTCGCAGTTTTTGAAACCACTGAGATTCTGGCTTGAAGAGTGAACCAATAGGGTACAGATAATATTTAAATTCGAGCTTTTTTACATTAAAAGCTTAAATTGATATTTATATTTTATGCTATTCCGAGCGAAGACAAATACGACTTTTCATATATATAGAATATCGATCTAAGTGATTTTAATGTAGAGATTTTAAACCTTAATCGAAACATAAATAAGTTACTTACTGAAACATATTGCCATCCATTGTTAACGCGAATAAGCAGTGCTTGCTCTTGAATGACATATGCCAGAGTGCCTCGGGGGTTCTTTGCACCCAACTGTAAGAAAAAAATTAAAACGACTTAAATTTAGTATTCAAAATGAACGTTCAAAAAAGATCATTTTGATACATTTTTACTGCTGTATTAATATATAACTATTTAAATATCATCTTTACATATAATTATCAAATCAATGTATACAAAATATTGTAAAAACTATTTTAAAAGAGTAAGTATGGAGTTACTTTCCCATTCTTTTTTAAATATTTGGAACTTGTAATTTTGACTTTCAAAAGTACCTTTTGTGTGAATTCGTCGTTAATAAAAATATATCAACTAAGTGTTCTGTAAAAAACCAACGGTTACAACAAAGGTAAGGTGATATAAGTGAAACATATTTTTAATTTATTTCCCAAGTTATAGACAAATAAGGCTAACAAATGAAATTCCTGTTTCGAACAAAACGTAAATTTTTCTTACTAAGGTAATAACTTTTGTATCGTTAATTTTGGCTTACTATCATTATTAATATTTACGTATATATCAAAGTTGTTGGTTACAATTAATTATTTTGAAAAGCTTAAAATGATCAGAGAAACCGACGCCAACGTGAAACATTGTCACAACCAAATTTATACATTTAATTTTACTCATTACGTCGCTTTAATAACAGAAATTGTCGTTCATTTAGACATGAAACATTTTCATATACTTCAAAGTCCTTTCATAATTTATTTACAGTTTCATTTCCACTTGTGTTAGGCTCATTACAAACATCAAAGCATTTTTTACGAAATTAAACAAAGGGCTTTGTTAATAAATTATTAAAAAGTCTTTAATTAATCTTTAGTAACGGAAAAATGCTGTAGCCTCCCAGGAGGCTCTGTAATTATACAAACAAAACAAAGAAAACGACACTTTCTTCAATATTCAAAAACATGTTGAAAACATTACGTGGTAATAATGTTCCTTCAAGAAAAAAGCGTACCAATTCTTAAAAGGCCGGCAACGCACTCGCGAGCCCTCTGGCATTGAGAGTGTCTATGGGCGGCGGTATCACTTAACATCTACGTTCTATATATAAAAAAAAACTCACCCGTAATAATGAATCCGTGGTTTTGAATAAGACAGTACCAATAATCGTCCTTCCATCTTCTTCATCGTCATAATCACCACTTTCACTTAGGGAATCTAAAGGTTCCGCGAAATCTAATCAAAATGAAATAAAAATGTAAAAATATGAGGAAAATTTGCGCAGGCATGAGATTGAGAGGCAAAAATTAAAATGGAAATTAATTATTATAATTACATATTTGTGGATACTAAATATAAGCGTGAGTTGTTTTTGCGTAATTATAATTTGTATCTAGAAAACAGCATGGATAGGTTATTTGATTATAATTGTGTTGTATCTACGTAGGAAATATTGCTTTAATAACATACTTAAAATAATGTGTATAACTTATATAACTAATAGTTTACTAATAAGTAAAGGATAGTTAACTCATTTAGCTTTCGATATGAACCAATTTATTTTTTTTCTAAACAGATATAACTGTACTAAGTCAGAGATAGATGTAATCCTTTTAAAGTAGTATACGTTTGAATATGTGATATGATGAATATCTTAGTCTTAAAAGACATTATTTTTAAGAAAATATTCACTGAAAAGATAGAGTATTTAATACATGTCATATACTACGCAACACAGGGGTTGATTATTAACAATCAAATTTGCAATATTACTTAGAAACTTACGGTATGCTCCTTGTCGATACTGCATCAAATTATTTAAATTTCGAAGTATTTGCAGTGCGTCACGTGGCTTTCCTAAAAGATTTTAATATTTTAAGTTGCTTCTGTGCCTGACACATGCTATCGGTTTTTGGGTCCAATACCTCGCACTTTTTTTATCAAAGATATGCTTAACCGTTAGACTAAGGCTGCTCTTCAACATCTTAAGCCATTTACAAAGTCCCCTTATTAAGATACCAAGTGGAGCCGCTACGTATACGCTACGAATGCTTGGGTGCTACGAATACAACGCACGTAGCCACCCGTTATTAACGCTACGACTACGTGTCCCCCACGTTTCTTTTTGCTAAAATGAGTTGGCAGTATGAAAATTTTTCTACCTGAACAATCTTAATCCTAATCCTGACCTATATTATAAAGGTAAAGTAGGTGAGTTTTTTTATGCAAATTGTGCTATTAGCTCAGTTACAGGGCCGTCAAAAATACACTCTTTTTTAAACTAAGCTTTATACCCACTTCGTTTATTGACTCATATAATTGAATAACAACTATCTTTAATTATAGCGTAGGCTTATGTATACTGTATAGGCCGAAATTGTTGTTTTTTTTTTAACTTTTACTGTATATTAAGAATAATAAACCAACAACCAAGTATTGGTAAATCAAATCAAAACTGACCTGCCGTTGTTTCAAGACGATTAATTCCCGGGCTATCTGTCAAAGTGTCCAATGGAAGTTGGTTCGTTGTACTTGTTCCTGGTGGTCCCGGGGGCCCGGGCGGACCCGGCACAGGGATGAACTCAACTTTTGCAGGGGTACCTGGAGGTCCAGGTGGACCTTGGGGCCCATCCTTCCCATTTGTACCTGGAGTTCCATCTAAACCACGTTCACCCTTATCACCTTTCAACTGAAGAAAATATAACGTTATGATTAATGTAAAAAGGCTAATATTACTCAATTCATTGGATAGTATACAAATAAAGTATTACTCATTTAACAGTCCAAAAACAGTTTTATATTTTCTTAGGATTAATAATTTATTATACGGAAACCGTAATTATAACCACCCTTCCCCAAATTTCGCTTAACAAAACACCATATTCGAATTATAAAAAATGAGGCACGCCCCGGTCTAAAAAGGCGATAATTAATGGAGTAGTCTAATTTATTCGTTTCCGCTCAATAACCGTGTTTGAATTTCAGATTTACCTTTTCAAGGTCCGCTAAAGCAATTCCCGGCTCCCCCTTTTCACCTTTTGGACCCTGAGTGCCCGGAGGGCCGGCGATCCCAGGTGGACCCTATTAAATACGATTTCATAGGATTTACGAGATATACTAAATAAGTACTTAAATTAATGGATTATCCGATCATGATTCTTGATACAAACTCGATAATTTATCCTGACAGTACCTTAATCATGTTAATATGTTGTAATGAGCAGTGTTGGCCTAGTGGCTTCAGCGTGCGACTCTCATACCTGGGATCGTAGGTTCAATCCCCGGCTGTGCACCATATATGTGCGAATTTAACATTTGCTCGAACGGTGAAAGAAAACATCGTGAGGCAACCGACAACACTTAGACCCAAAAAGTCGACGGCGTGTGTCTGGCACTGGAGGCTGATCCTACTTGCTTAGATTTAAAAACGATCATGAAACAGATTCAGAAATCTGAGGCCCTAAAGAGGTTGTAGGGCCACTGATTTATTTTATTTAATATGTCGTAAAACTTTTTATTTAAAATTTAATGAAACATGTACGTATAAAAAATATAATAATGTTCTTAAATGATATGAATTCTAATTTTGAATAACGGACGAAGTAAAACATATTAGTAAGGTACATAATTGATGTAGTTAAGGATAGTATTTAAAAGCGTAGACTTACGCTTACGTCAGCAGAAAAAATATTAGCCTAGTTAAAATTGTTATAATAATTTGATAAGTTTTTCTTCGCCAGAACTACTCTAATTCTACACTGATAATACTCACAGTCCACCCAGGTAGTCCAATGTCTCCAGATACTCCATTAGTACCAGGAATGCCAGGGGGACCAGGCAGACCCGGTGCTCCTCTTGGTCCAGGAGCTCCAGGATGACCTCTTTTTCCCCTAGGACCCGGTTCACCTTTATCACCCTTGTAAAAAAAATTACATGCAGATAAATTATATTCCAACAAACTTAGCAAGGGCAACGACCCTTAAAAGCTGTGACACGGATAACAAAAGAAATTGTATGACATCCTACTAAAGTAGGTACATTAAACAGCTACGTGTCATTGTATTAGACATATACAATGAGAAATGTACTTTTATGTTATAATATGAATTTGACTTAAAAATGTTAGTTATAATCCGTCATGAAATATTCTATAGAAAACAATTTTTAGCTTTCCTTATATAAGAATAAAATGACGTTCTTCATATTTCTATATCGAAATCACTCGTAATTGCTACGAGTCTAATTAATTTTAAAACAGTTGGATTGGATATTTGGCTGTTATATTTAATCCAGTTCTGCAGGTGAATTAAGAATTATTATTTTAAATGTTATTTCCTCTGTAGTACCTTGGTCATAATAACAGCTTCTTCTCTAGATATAGCAACAGGGCCGGGTGGTCCAGAATCTCCTTTATCACCTTTGGGCCCAGTTAATCCTGTAGCACCTTGCGCTCCAGGGAGTCCTGAAGGACCAATATCTCCGCGTTCCCCTGCCTTTCCATCGTTACCCGGAAATCCTTGTGGACCTTCAATACCTCGCGTTCCTTTTTCGCCCTGTTTTTAATAATGTAATATTAATTTAAATAACTTCAAAGTAAGGTAATTAATGGTGCTTAGCCAATATCTATATCACAATAAGATTTTAATTATTGAACTAATCAGAAATTAATTACTAATTTTTAATAGAAGACTTTCGCAGACTAGAAAGATGACTAGATGTATAGTATATAAAACTCAACGAGAATTCACAGATTAAAGTAATTAATAAATTTGTGTTTCAATTAGTTAAAAAAGTTTTTTATTAAATATATACAGTACTTGAATAAGCCAAACAATACAAACAATACAGTTATTAAATATCTTGACAGCATTTTATTATTATTTATGAAACAATTTAGAACAAAATATCTTACAATACAAAAGAACACAGTAAGCTATTAGTCACATCTGGCTTATAATTACCTTTTCGCCTCGTTCTCCCTTATCGCCCTTGAGTTTAGCGATGTCTCGTGGACCTACATAACAATATCATATATCACATAACCAAAGTCACGGAAGAAAGATTTTGATGTCGTAATAGAAGAAAAATACGAAAGAAAACCTCTTTTGTTGGCACTCACTTCAAATTATGTAAATAAATAATTACTATTTAAAATCCTTTTAAATTTGTATAACCCTGGTTTAATCAAATGCATGGGTAAATGTATTTTTAATTAACATATTAAAAACAATTATTGAACGTATTTAAAATCCCGGCTTACGATATCAATGTCATTATTTTTTTAATTAAAGGTTGACAAGAAAGATGGACCAAATAGCAAATACGATTTTAGAATGTAGTGAATGAATTTGCGAGATTTCACATACATTTATATTCCGTTTACGTTATGGGAAAGTCATAAACAATGAGTTATTAGTGAGCGCCAACAAAATGGATTAAGGGAAGGGTGTTCCTCGAATACGTTTAGTGCCGCTTAAATGTCTGTGGTTCTACGTCAAGTTTCTCATGAATATTGAGTGTATTGTTTGAGAATCTATATACCATTTCACACATATATACTTATAATTGATTTTCTCAGACATAACGGTTGTCGCAATATATGTTTAAGATACAATTATAAATAAACGCGAATATTGTAGACGATCTTGTTTAAATACATAGTTAATAATTAATAAAACTATAAAGTTATATCAAATGATAACGATTACGTTACCTTAAACATGTTCCCAATGTCAGTTCTTGTACCAATAAAAAGGCTCTTAACTTTTCATACTTATTACATAAGATCGAGTAATACTAATAAAAAAATTGTCTGCCCAAACATGCCAAATCCATGAATATCTAAATATTTTTTATATGCCTGGAGATGCGTACAACTCTTTGTTTTTAATTTATGTTATTATTATTAATTACTTAAGATGTCATGTGGAACATGGTTTAATGTTTGCAGCTCCTTACAAACGTTGTGTAAAAAAAACATGGCGACTAAAAAGAGTGGCGGAGAGTTTATTGCCAGTTCTTCTCTTCCGTTCTACTCCCTTGATTTGAGAACTGGCACTAAATGTAAAATTAGAAGCATTAATATGTATTTCTTTACTGACAAGTCATAACTGTACAATGTGTTACCTATATGATTAAATGATTTTTGATTTTTGAATTTTGATGCGTGAAATATTAGCAATTTATTTTACATGTATATTAAGATTATCTTTTATCTTCTAAAGATCTCAATTTATTTAAAAACCAGGTTTCCTCAAAAGTACTACTCAGGGTCTTCTATACTGGTATTTCTGAGTTAAAATTTGTGTCAAATATTTATAAATGGATGATATGTTTTGCGCCTTACAATTTCTTTCAAAGGATTAAGTATAAAATCTCTTACGCGGCGAAGTTTCGTATCCGGCGCGAATCCGGATCGTAAGTTGTTAATATTGGGTTAACTAATTCTATTATTTGGTAAAGTAGGTCGCTGGATTATAACTTAGGCTCCAATGGCTGATTGAATGTGATGTCGTGTTTTCGGTACATTGGGTTATATTAAGAAATGGGTCCTTATTTTCTATAAAATATCATTACTTACAATAAATAGTGGTTTCAGATACAAGAAAGATTATCGTGTGTTTCATAATATGGAAATAAAATGTGTTAGATAATTTTTTCAGAATTAGCGAACGATTATAATTAAAGGATGTGTGGTCTAGGTATAAAATTTATCTGAAATAAGGCTGGCATTTAATTTGCGACCTTTTTCGAATGTTGTTTACAATTTATAGAGTTTTGAAGTGAAACTTCTTTATCGGGGTTGGAAAAAAATTTAGTGTAACATTTTTGCGTTACGCGTCACATTTTTCCGTTACGCGCCATGTTGCTTTTTGAAGTCAAACTTCTTTATCGGCGTTAAAATATGACATATAGTATGTTTTTGACTTTGAAGTTTGACAACGGATTACATTTTCGAAGTCAAACTTTTTTATCGGCATTAAAATATGACATATAGTATGTTTTTGACTTTGAAGTTTGACAACGGATTACATTTTCGACTTGAAATTTGCTAATCGCAATTTGCAGCAATTAATTTGTAAATTGTATCAAAATTTACTGTGTTTAAAGAAATAGTTTCGGACCTCTAAACTTAAAACAAACCAATTATGGCTCTGCGTACAACAAAGGTTTTATATAAGTTTCACTTCTTACGTGTGTACACCTAGTACACGCACAATTAATTTTTTTATATGGCAGAATATTATATAATGAACCCATGAGTTGTTCGTTGATTTAACTAATATTTTAGGCATACATTTTCAAACTCATGTCGGTCCAGTTCCAATGTCAAGAAAATTTAATTGTGTATGAGCGCGTATATTTGACATTGGGAGTAAACTTTGAAAACTAGTTTTCGAAGCCATTACGGAAACACTAGCAATCAAAACTTTTGCGACTTGAGAACTTTTCAAAAGATTTCTTGACTTTAGATTTTGTTTTAGACAATGTAAGTGAAAGTTTGGGTTAAACGTGGTATCTCGAAAGGTTTTATTGAATTATTCAAAACCAATATAGAATAGTTACAGCCTAGTAGCTAGGCATAACTTTCAAACTTTAGGCTTAATGATGGTAGCGCCAGTAATTTTATTAAATAACTAAAGTTGACTTTTCATTTTTAAATAATAAAATGCATTCTGTGACCTAATGCAATGCAACTGGTTTATTTAATAATATATTTTTTTTAATAACCTATTTTTGGGTAACGGAAAGGTCGTATAACATAATTAAAAGTATAATTTGGTTTTAACTATGTCTGAATATGAAGAAACTGCTCGTAGCATTGACCTTAATCGTAAATGGTAATAATTTTTAGTCTTTTTTCTTTTTTTTTTAATGTAATAGGAGGCAAACGGGCAGGAGGCTCACCTGATGTGAAGTGATACCGCCGCCCATGGACACTCACAATGCCAGAAGGCTCGCAAGTGCCGGCCTTTCAAGAATTGGTACGCTCTTTTCTTGAAGGACCCTAAGTCGTATTGGTTCGGAAATACTTCAGTGGGCAGCTGGTTCCACATAGTGGTGGTGCGCGGCAAAAACTGCCTTAGAAAACGCAAACGTTTGTAATGTTGTTTATTTATAAATCCTTTAGTAATTCCGTCACATGTTATAAGATCATTAATATTGAATTTACTTTATCCTCACGGACCTGATCATCGTAATTACTGCAATTGTCATTCAATTGACACATTATCTGTGCCGTAATTCCTTGGGCTATACGGAGTTTACACTATGAAATGGTTGGATTATAAGAAAACATATTTGCACAAACGATAATCTATGATGCGAAATAAATCAATGGTTTTGCGTATAGTCTTTGAGAACTGTAGTGTGTTAACGTCTTGCGTTCGAACCCTGACCATGGACTTGTCTACAAAGGAACGTGTGCTACTAACTAGAGCCCGCGGTAAAGGAACCATTGAGAGAAAATAGATATAACTATTAAATAAAGTACCAACGCAACGAGTTCATTTTAGTAACAACTCCGATTATTTTTCATAAAAATAGAATAATTATTTTTTGTAATTACAATCACACATTACATTGCACTCAGTTATCTAATGATTTATTTATTTTTTTGGACCTACATCAATTTGTGTATTGTGTGCAGAAATACAATTTCAAAAATATACCGGAAATAACAGTGATCGCGGGCACGTAGTTTGATAAATATTTGGAACATTGATTTATTCATATCAGATCGTACTAAAAACTTTTTAGTAAGTGGAGTACACATTGTTAAATACAACTTTTAGACATTTCAGTAGACAAAATTGTATTTCTATAAATAAATTATACGGTTGATTTAATTTAATAAACAGTAATGTGAATTGAAATCTCAGGAGGCTAGCTTTAAACAATAGTAGTTACCATAATCCCTTACATAATTAGCATAACGCATTACATTTCTGGTCTATGTAATGTAATTAATATGATAACGACGAAGTGCTATTAGTTTAATGTGATTTTATGAGTAATTATTTTCTTATCTGTGTATAATACAAAATGGTTTTTTGTTTAACTTGTAGTTAGACATTTAACTAACTTTATTTTAATAAATCCGACATGGGATGTCAAAAGTATTAAAAAACTATCGACAAATATGTATTCAATATAGAATCAAGTACAAAAACTAAACATTGTATCCGGAATATGTGTCACTATTACTAATTTTAAAACGTACGTACGTAATACCATACCTGTTCTTGCAAGATCTCCTAGAACAGAATTTTCAGAAACCGCAGTCAAAGAAGGCGCCGGCGGCCCAGGTAGACCCCGAACACCTAAATGTTATAAAAAACATAAGCCACTTAACGTTACGAACAAAAGCATATTGGGTATAAAATATTCAAAGCAACAATTACGACCTGCCTACATCCATCTCAAATCGCATGAAAGCAAGATAAAAGACGTTTATATTGCTATAAAGACAGAAATATCCTAAACAATGGAAAAAAACTCTTTGAAGCTAAAATGAAACAAGCGGTACAATTGAAGATATAAAGCGACGTATAACAATAAATAATGCGTAGGTACTGTTACGGAATCCTATCTCAAGGGTCCGGTTGTGAAATAAAGATTTTCCGAATCGTTGCAATAAAGCCCTAAAATCTTGCGAACGCGTTTCACTCGCATAAATAAAAGGCATAGTGAAACATAAAATTTGATGGTTGAGTTAGTTTGTTACCTTTCTCGCCTTTTTCCGCCGGTCGGCCGTGCGAGCCTGGGAGACCCGGCAGCCCGTCTTTACCGGGTTGGCCGCGTTCGCCCTTCGCGCCGTGTGGGCCTCGCGCGCCCGTATAACCCTATAACATAGCCATGACGAATATCGCATTTACAGGGTTATAACGTAGTTATAATCTTCGCTCCTAGTCACATAATGTTACGAGGGTCAAACGGTCCGTTATTGCGTTTTCGCGAAGTTTATTTCCGGATTTCGTCCGTGAATTTGAGTTTATACGAGTTTCTATATAACTTTGTAGGATAATATAATGCCTATCGATATCGAGGAACTATTTACTTCATATTTTTCGAATGTTTATTAAACATACTATGTTATAAAAATATATTACAAGGGAATTTAAAAAAAAAATTCAGACTTAAAAAGTCTCAACTCAGCAACCAAAGATCAAAGTTCTAGACAATTAAAAGTGAACGGATATTTGCACTTTGATCAAAGTAAAGGATGAAAGAGTTGAAATTAATTAATCACAAGTTTTACGCTTGGGTTCCGATCACAAAATGCTCCCAAATTAAATTACATAAGGAATCTAACGATTTCATTAACTCTCCTGATAAATAGCCATTTTAAAGCTATTACTGAATAATTAAAATCAAAGTAAATAAAACCATGAAATAAACACGAAACAGGATTCAATCATTAATTTCATGTAAAGCGTCACTCGGTGTCGTAATGATAAATTGCTCACCCTTTCCCCTTTGTCCCCTTTGGATCCGTGTAATCCTTTCTCCCCTTTATTGCCGGTATATCCTCTTTCGCCGGGCGGACCTGCCAGGCCCATCGGACCTCTGTCCCCCGGAGGGCCAGGGATCCTATCAGCCCCGTATAATCCCGTTGATTCCTGTCAGAATAGTGAGAACTATTATGTTAAAGGTGTTTAGCCGAGATGGATTGTTGTAACGTTTGTGTTTTGAACTTCTGTAAAATAAGACTTATAGCTACTTATGGATACATACTATATGTATATTTGAACATACTATATGTATATTTGAACATACTATAATCACTATATTAAACAAAAAATAATATATTAATCAGATATGCTGTATTCGAATAATTCTCGTCGAAAACAGGTTTCTTGAACCGGCGATCTTGAAGCGTCGATGTTTCAATGGGTTTTGTGACGTTTTATGCGCAATTGGTCTTAATGAATATAAATTTTAAATCCGTTCGACATGCTGGTGGACAGAGTAACTGTGTCCAGATTGCGTTTCCACCACACTGTTGTAAACTTGTGATGTATACAATAAATTTAAAAAAAAAAGGTGCGTGTACTTATGTACGCGCGTAAGAAGTTATACTTCTTTGGCTTTCTTAATTTTTTATAAAATATTAAATAATTAATAATAAATATTTAACGTTAATAATTTAATAATGTTTAGTATATTATTCAATTATTAATTAATATTAATAATTATTATTTATTATTTTATTATATTATTCATTCAATTTCATAACTACGTATGTTTCATAACCTTTTAACTAAGTAACAATAGGTCTTTGTGAAAAAGCATTGCTAAATTTCTTTGAAAAAATAATTAAAACTCCTTTATTTGTTCAAAAGGTAAATGTCATTATGCTCATTCAAAATTCTTGGCATAGCTGCTAACTTCACGCATATTCTATTTCTTTTTACTTGTAGATTGTCTTATTCCCATCTCGCTCGCGCTCGCTATAATCACACTGACAACTTTGTGTCTCAGGTGCGCGCGCATCGTAAAATGTCACTCTCATCAATTTTTCATAACGCGCCTAAAGAAGTTTAACTTCAAAAAAAATATTATTTGTTTGAAATTCGAATGCTTTTGCCCTGTACCTGAAGTCTCAGAACCAAATAGAATCGATTAATTTGTTTCATTGATTTAATGATTTCTACCAATTAGAGGCTTTTGCCGTCTACCCCTGAGCTACACAACCTACGCGTTAAGCTCAGTTAATACATACAATCTTATGTTTCTCGTAACAAAACACTATTTAATCTGATTAAAAATCTTCACCTTGAACATCTTTAAAAATTTAAATAAAAAAACTAAACTCAAAGATTTGTTGAAATTATATCATTATTTTTTTATATAATAATACTTTCTTCTCCCCCCCGCCCTGCCATTTTTTTTTCCTCCCCTGCCATTTCTTTTTCTATCTCATACATTTTTACTGAAAATATGCATAAATTAATTACTCATTCGTGTTACGCGTCTCGCGATAAACGCCCCGGCTACATCGGTAATACAATTTTTATTTTCAATATTCATAGGTGAGCCGGGGCGCAATTGCTTGCGAGTCCCGTTCTTTTTGTTTGCCTCGTTTAGATATTTAATAATTTTTTCGCAGAACCGTTCCAGGCATGGTCTGTGCTTTGTTAACATGTCCTGTAGGCCGTTACAGACTATTACTATACATCCTCTCTAACTTTTGTTTTAGCTCCCTTAACATATGCGTTTACTTTTAGCTAAAAACATGAAAGCAAAGTAAAGTTTAATTACCAATACACGGTATTTGAAAGATATTTTAGAGAGATAGAGGAAGTTTGTTGGGAAGATTCAGTCATGAATAATTCAAATCAAACGTTCACATCAATTTTCTTTGATTTCTAAGCAACGAATTATAATGCCCAATTATTCAAATATACTTTTTCGTTTGAGTGGAAACAAAGTTTCATTTAGGCCACAAAATGTATAATTTAGTTTCTTTCTCAACTTTGACATTCAATTTGAGGGTAGTTTGATAATAAATTGATAAAACAACAGTAGGTACCTGCCCATTTACATTATCTTATTATTGTGTGTTTCTTTTGAATTACGTAATTATTATTATTATTTGAAGCAATAACAGCTGAACTGATTGGCAGAAGCTATTAAGATCTGTTTACTCACCAATAGCGTTGGAGTGATCGATCCAGGAGGTCCAGGAGGGCCAGATGGGCCCTGAAGACCAGGAGTACCATCAGATCCAGGTTCCCCTTTTGAACCTGGTTGTCCTTCAACCCCTGGCATACCGGATTCACCTCTGTCTCCTCTGTCACCTTTTGGTCCTGCTGGACCAGGTGGCCCTTGTTCTCCCATTTGTCCCTGTTTATTGAAAAGGTTTATATACTCCTAAATTTAAATGACTATAAATTGTCATAACAAGTTACCTTGGCAACGGTCTGTCTGTGAAAAAAATAACATTTTATTCAACTGCGCAGGCCTGTCCTTTCTTGTTCATTTGTACGACATACTGTCGAGTAGATTACTATCGAATGGTGTACTATTTAAGTGACATTGGTAATTTTAAATTCGAGTGTTTAATTTGCGGTAGCAGAACGTGCGTAGGCGTTGTTGAGTCGGGGCGACGCGATGGGAGCAAGGTTTTTGTTCAAAGCGTTTGCGGCCACGGAGTATGGCTAGTTCGAGTCAGTGTTGCAAGGTGAAATAAGTTAAAGGTATATATTTTTTTAATTGGCGTTGACAACAAGCGACGAAGCGTAACATCCTTGTTAAAAACTATCACTCAGGCAAATGATTGTCAATTATTAAAAGGAAGCTGGCATAAGTAGGAATTTACAGTTATAGTATTAAAATAAATTGTGTTTTATGAAACTAAGAAACAGTTTGCGTGGGTATAATGATTGGTAAAATTAAAGGGATTCCACCCACATCTATTTCTCGAAATAGGCACTGCGGTAATTATAATATATTTAAATCTTGGAGGAAAGATATATATATATATATATATATATATATATGTATATATAACTTTCCTCCAAAATAAATAATTTATAATTTATCGATTGCGGTAATTGATAATAATTATTGTATAGATATCAAATAACATCTTAAAAATAATTGACACGGCATCTACCTAGGGTAGGGTTAGATCAAATATATATTTAGCCCTATTAATATTGAGACTTGGAGAAGATTAATTTTTGTCTGTTTGGTGGATATTTTTTGTATGTATACTAATTTGTTTGTGTTCACATTCTCTATCAAAGTATATCCTCGAAAAAAAATTTGAAGTTACTAATAATTGATGGTAGGCAGACTGACCGTGAAATAAAAAAGCCAGTTGTTGACGCGCTGACATTTTCTTTGAGCCATCGTGCCGTGCGGACACACATTTGATGACAGTAATAATATCTAAGATTATTTAGCGATAACGTGGTTTAAATATGTAAAGTTAGCAAAATAAGTTTTCCTTAATTTATTTTATAAACAAAAGAAAGAAATTATTCGTACCGTTTTTCCAGGTGCGCCGGTAGTACCATCTGCGCCAGTGGGTCCCTGAGGTCCTGGAGGGCCACGCATGCTTGGTATGTTCGTCAGCATTACTGATATGTCGTTGATGCTGCATTTGCATTGAGATGATATCTGTCGATAGAACAAATGTGACTTAATAAAAGGTAAGAATAAAATCAGGTAAACTTAAAATTCAATAGCGAGTTCGTCGCTATTGACAACTTCATAAAATAGCATGAGGAAGTTTTGAAACAAATTCAAAGTACTCCTCGATATAAATTCAAAGATACAATCGCAAACAAACACTTATGCAAATTCAGATTTCGAACAAGGCCGGAAGTTAAATCCAAGAATAAATAGAATATAAACATACATTGATATTAGGCCGTTCCGGTTTTCCCGCTCCGGAAGGTCCCAAATCTCCGTCCTCGGCTAATCTCTGAACAATACAAAGTTTCAAAATGATATCATCTTTTCTATTATACATACGGGACAAGGAGTCTGTTATCGCATGAATTTATTGAGACAGTTCCGGTTGTTTTGTTTTAATGTATTTTATTTCGCCACGACGCAGTTTATAATTATTCTTCATCGTACTTTTTCTAAATACCAGAGCAACGAGATTTTTCTACAAACCGCACATTTAATATGAAATTTTATTATTTGAACCGGCAACGCACTCGCGAGCCCTCTGGCATTGAGAGTGTCCATGGGCGGCGGTATCACTTAACATCAGGTGAGCCTCCTGCCCGTTTGCCCCCTGTTCTATAAAAAAAAAAACTTAAGAGGTGTCAAGGGACACCGTGATGGAACGAAATTCCTTTCGATTAATTTATATGTTAATTGGTATCATAACAGTATGATAGATTTTCTCGACACCAATCTTACGACGAAAAAAAAAAGCCAACATCACGAGGTGTTCCCAGGCGGTCACCCATCCAAGTACTGACCTCGCCCGACGTTGCTTAACTTCGGTGATCGGACGAGAACCGGTGTATTACAATAGCAAATAGCAAAAAAGTGTCGTGACAACTTTTCGTAAGAATTTTTTCCGTCTAGCCCCCTTTCACAACGCGCGATGAGGAACTTCGTTCCAAAAATAATAAGTGATTTTGTAAGTTTACACATACATTATATATGTTTGTAAAACACGTTATGGAGAATGCAAAAATATAAATCTTCTAATACTTTGAGTAGAGTACCGTACTACAATACAGTATGTACTACTAATACATACCGCATTTGTTTTATTAAAGTCTTCTCGTAAATGTTTTGTGCCTTATAACCCGAAATATTGTTTATCCAGGCAGAGATCGGATATTCTGACCTGAACGTATTAAAATAATCTAGAGAGAAACAATTCTGTCTTCTAGGAGATTAAAACGGTAATAATATACAAAGAAAAATCAGAAGCATATCTATACTAATAGTTTCAAGCTGTTGTGGTGTAAATCTTAAGGTTAGAATTGAAATTATTGAAGTCTAACGGCTAGAATAATAGTATAAATTATACTTACATCGCCTTTCTGTCCTTTGTGAACAACTATAAACAGAAATATAGTTATAAATTATATTATTAAATTGACAATATTAATAAAAATATAAAATTAAAGCTTTGTTGTAACTTATTAGGACCTAAAAATCAATGAATTTTTTTAATGTTATATCCAAAGTAACCAAACAAAACATCCAAATGTAATCATAAATTAACCGCTTTATGATATTTTTTACCTTTAAACGAACCAACTAGTAAAATTTACGAATATTCAAACTATACAAAAACGAACTAAAACCTTCTAAATTCAAAATAACCGTTTTAAAAACGAGCGCTCGTAAAACACTTGTCAATTTCAGTTTGGCGAATACTCACATGGCGAAGAGTGGGATACGATGGGTAATCGGTTTTCATCTGGATTCACCTGAAATAAATAAAGCGCCATTAAGCATTGTTGAACGATTCCATTTTGTTTTGTTACTGCAGCTATTGCGGCATAATATTGAAGTGGACTCAGTGAGATTGATCAAAAATATTATAACAATACACTGTAGTGTTTGAGCGTTTAAATTTTGTAGTTGAATTGAAATTATTATTATTTTCATTTTCTGTATATATTATTAATACGATTCAGACATATAGAGATTCAGCGCTTACTACTACTTACAACCACACGCAATCTTAAAACTAGTGCGAAGTTTGTAGCAAGATTTGACTGAGAGAGCACTTTGATAACCATTCCGTTGATTACATTTAAACTTAGATCCATTTTGCATTAATGGCCTTGAAGTCGTGCTTTGAGTCGTTAATATAATAGTAGAATAATAATTATATATTTATATAAAGGTGCAGGTGCAGAAGAACAGACTTATTAACATATAGTAAACACTATTTATACTTTCTGTCGGATTTATTTTTTAATTATCATAATGAACATTCAGAAGATAAATTTTTAAATTACGGTTTAGAATAATTTAGCAAAAATTATTACAATTTTACGTCATTCAAACTGAGTTATTGCCGAGAACGTACGCTGCGAATCACGACATTTCCCCGGGGGATAAAATTTAAGAATGTCAACGTAAGTAATGCCGCATGTAATATAATGGTCTTAATAAGGTCATATCGCTATTGTCATGCTCTGTAACGCATGTAATAATAATTCATAATGTTGGTAATTTATGAAGAAGAAAATCTCATAACGTTGGAGTGCGATATTTTCACAATATACTACTCTTTTTAACCAAGGCATTTTTATGTAAAAATCGTAATAAATCGGCACTTTCACTGGTAAGCCTTAAGCAAATTTTTAATAAATAACAGAAAATATAAGAAGAACTGAAGAAGAAGAAGGTTTAGAAGAAAAAATATTTTAGTTTAAGTTACAATTCATTTTAATTTTCGCTTTGATGGCGTGTTATTAAAAGAAAATCGCTGTATCTATCAATATTTATCAAGCATTAGACAAAAAAAATCTTTTTATATTATTTAAGTAATATAGTTCTATTCACGGTCGACTGACAAATGTGACGTAACTCGATCTGTACTATAGTAGATGAAAATATTTATAAAACACCGAATAACATTACTTTCTTTTCATATTTATATCAATGACCATCCACATCAAATATTGTTATTACATTATTAATGTAAACAGTATAACATCCATCATAGTGAAGTCTTAAAAAGCATCATCAAATTATTGTGGACACTGACCTGGTCACTAATGGGTGTATTTCGTGATACAAAACACTCAGTTTTGGTGTTCGTTTTATACGAAAGATAAGTTGGCGAAATTTGTTTTGTCATCGTAATTTATACACATTGCTTTAATTCGTCATCCATTTGAAATGGGTTCATAAATGACAATTAGGAAATACCATTAATTATAATGACCATTCGTGACTCATAAATATTTAATTTGTTATCTTTGCAATTGGTTTTATGGGGAGGTTCCAATAAAGAAAATTTGGTTATTAACTTCTATGATCCTTAGTGATATTAATCACTTTATATTTTATATCTAAAAAAGATCCTATTAAGATGAATCGTTCACTAATAGGGCCCATAACATTGTTCGATGGATCCTTTGTTTTTGTAGGCAAGTGTACGGCATTCTACGGCTTTCTAATTATTTGTGTTCTACTAGGAACAGAAGTTATATTATATACTTATATGTTTGTTAATTAAGCTATGGAAGTGATTAAAAATAATGTATTAAAGATGCATTGTTCCAAATTTATTCTGAACTAATAAAATATTGTGATTTACAATTAAAAAATTGCTACAGTATTAGTACAACGAAATTTCGTGGAAAGTCCTTTATTAATTTGCTTTCGAAAATACAATTTTCAATAAATTATAAACATAATGAAACCGGTAAATAAAGTGAGTATTTCCCAGAAAGCTTTCCATTACATTTTCAACACTGACACAAGATTAATGAACTGAGACATGCGATATTAGAAGAAAAATATTTACTTAAAGGCAAGTCACGCCCAACTTCGGAACTTAGATAAATATAAATAATTCATATACCCGCTTAGAAATGGTATTGAAACAATCCGAATTCGAATGTCTTCGAGTTTTGTTTTGGTGAAAGTTTTAGGAACAAATGTGGAACCGAATACTTTGCGTTTTTCTCTTAAGAACATTCGCCTGAATATTTGTATGCTACACTAGTTTATGGTAATGTACAAAGGCAAAAATTCAAACTGGAAAATTGTTGGAATTTTCAATAGTAACGAGTAAATTCAGACCATATTCTCAGATTGAAATATTTTTGGTAGAGCACTAGAATATTTTTAAAAAGCAAAATATTGATATATGTACTAATCTTTTTTTTTAAAAACGTCGTGTTTTATTTTTTTATGTATATATAGTAACAATTTATATTTTTATTTTAATCAGTATCCAGGATTAAATTCAAAAAGAATTCAAGAATTTTTGACAGAAATAATTAAAACTAATATTTACTGCGGTAGATACACCATTTTCAAACGACTCAAGAAAGATTGAACCAAACACTGGTTAATAAAATGAGGTGCAAAATAAATCAGAAGAATGAAAAGAAATCCTGACGTCAATTGCAAGAGAATTATAGATAAGTATAATGAAACCGAATACAGTAAGTTTGAAGTATATCTATTAGAAGGAAAAGTCACCAGCATTTTGCCAAAGAACTACGACAACCATTAGATACAGAAACTTGGTTCAAAATAGACAACAAGCACTTGAAAGATCAATTAGATCACATGCATAAATAAGAAATTATTTGATAAAGGAGAAGACAATGTGAATTCAAATAGGAGAACTGTATATGTTGAAAACGGAAATATTCAAAGTAAAGAGAATGATCTCTTTAATTTGAATATTCGCGCTTTGCTGTTCGTGAGTGACGTGTGTAGTCAGTAGCTGACATTGTCAAAGATTAAAGGGCAAATATTGAGATTGTTGAATTGTATTTTAATCTTATTTGTAAATTAATTTAATATAGTTAAGCTATATGATGGAGGTATAACAATGAACTTTTATTTTTTTTATTTAAGAGAAAAAATAGAAGTTTTATTTAGCCTCTTTTTGCTATTGAAATAAGACTATTGTCTTATAAAACGACAATACTTGTTTATAATGGCACAAAAATTAGTTTGCATTTAAGCTTGAAGCATACAAACTGACAATAAGACAGTGTAATTGCCATAACCTAATTAAAAGAAGATACAAAAGTATACACTGTCTGAGACTGATAAATACGCGAGTCGTCACATAGCATTAACAAAAACAGAAACCTACAAAGAGTGAGAAAAATTTAAATCAAAGAGGTCAAGAAAGAACAATATGATGACATGTACAGAAGAAATGATTCAAGCCTATTTTGATGAAGATAATAATTTAATTTTAACGACCTATATTTAAAAAAGAAAAAAAACAAACAGATATTGTAGAATCCACACAGCAGAAAAAGGGTCTACTAAATTTGAAAATATATCAGAAAGATTCATGATTGAGAAATTTGTATGTAAATTCTCAAATGCGAAACAATGGATAGAAATATTCGAGAATGAATGTAAACATTTGAATTGAGGAAGATACAACAAAGATAAAATATTAAGATTATTTTTGGACAAAACATGTGCAGATTGGCACTCGGAACATTGAAGACTTTGAAAATCGAGGCTGATGTCCGAGTGGAAAAATAAATTTTGGACACATTTGCCGATAAAGATGGATTGGAATGTATGATATTTTACAAATATAAGAAGGATCACTTATGGAATACGATTAGAAAAGAAAAGTTATTATTAGATATGGAGAAAATATTGGCGGGAAAAGTCTGGTAACTTATAGAGCCGGTTACTGAATTATTAGAAACAGAATTGATCCTGAAAGTTGAAACCTCAACAAGATTGCTTCATGAAATAAGTAAATGTGAATTTGTAAATAATAAAAACTTCAAAATAAAAAAGAAGAAAAAGATGACAAAAAAATAATTTAGGAAAAAACCATGCAAAACCTGTCAGTTTTAAATAAGGGTAATCGATAACAGAACAGTTTTTGGTTTAAAAAAGAAGGGGCAGATAACAAAGGATTGGAAGTAATTCGGTTATAGAAGTAAATCTAAGCGAAGAGACAAAAACGAGTAATCACACCATTGATAAAAATAAATATGTTATTAGAAGACAAAATACAAATAAATGGAATAAGATTCAGCTCACAAGTGTCTCTGATAAACAAAAGGTTAGTTAGAACACAGAATGATTCTGTGGATACAAATAGAATATATTAAGAACTTCAATGGTGTGACATACACAAAAGGTTTAATAAGAATAAAAGTAAAATTTTTGATATAGAATAATATGTTGATGTTTTTATTGTAGACAAATGATTTTGAAGATTTCATTATAGGACTAGATATGATAAAAAAATTTAAATTAGCTCAATGAAGATTTAAAAATTTTACAAAAGACAAGAGGGAGATAAATACTATGAATATTTGAGAGATAAGAAATTAAAGTCAATTTTAATAGCATGTGAATAAAAATGACTTCATAACAAATCTACATCACTTGGACAATATCAAAAAGTCCCGAATACACAATTTTAGAGAATTATAATACTATATTTGCCAAAGACAAATATGATGTAGGACAGTAACAGATTATGAAGCCCGATAGACTTAATGGTGGACAAGTACTGTAGCAAAAGACCATATCGTTGCACATTAGAAGACAAAATAGAAATAGAAAACAGGTGGGTAATTTACTAAAAAATAACTTAATTGAGGAATATACAGCCCATTCGAGCACCATTACCTTGCATTTAAAAGAGACGAAAATACAAAATCGAGACTCTGTATTGATTTTCGTGAACTAAACAAGATAGTCATACCACAAGCACAACCATTTCCATTGATAAGCGACTTGATTGTTAAAGCAAGAAATTGTAAATATTTTACCACACTGGACATAAATTCCGTTTTGGTCTATACCACTACTATTGAGGACAGACAAAAGACAGGATTTGTCACACAGGATGGACATTATAATGGACTTGCCTACATTTGGATTGAAAACATCACCTGCCATTTTCCAGAGAATTTTATCAAATATATTAAGAAATAATAACTTGAAAGACTTCACAGAAAATTACATTGATGATATCTTAATATTTTCACAATCTTTGAAGAACATATAGATCACATAGAAAAAGTATCAAAGCAATAATAAAAGAAGGATTCAGATTAAAATTTAAAAATGCACATTTGAGAAC